ATTTGTTAATCTAAAAAGAAAAAAAATTACCTTTATTACCTTTATTACTTAGAATATTTAGGAAAAATAATTAGAATTTTTATTTGATACAACATACATTTGAGAATCGAGGGGGTTATCTCTCTCTCTCTCTCTCTCTCTCTCTCTCTCTCTCTCTCTCTTTCGTACATTTCTCCGTTCAATAAAAACTTTGACAACACATTACTTATTTAGTTTTGAAAATTTTATCTACACATGTATTACAAATAATTTGAATGCCTCTTTCCAACATCTTGACCGAGTATAATCACGGATACAGATACATGAAGAAGTTAGCTAAAATAATCGTCATAAAAGAATAAAAAGGCACATAAATATGGAATATTTTGCAGTAGAATTTAAATAAAACGAGAATTTTTATGCAGTACGATAACAGTCAATGTCAACAGATAATTGTGAATTTTAAAAAAAATCCGTTGTTTTACTCAGAATCGCTTTGGCACGGAAATACATGTACGGTTGTTTCAATCCCGTACAATGTAATTAATTCATTCTATAAGTAGCAGTTTTATCTTCAGAGGTCCACATTATTTTATTAGTGAAAAGAATAGGCATAATTATTTACTATATAAGTAGATTAATTTATTTTTTAAGTACATGCGGTAACAAATACATGTTTGACGGCGATTAAAAGCATGTTATTAAAATATCGATTTAAAAATAGGTTTGTGCATTTATTTATTTATTTATTTATTTATTATTTATTTATTTATTTATTTATTTATTTATTGTTTATCTCAGTAGTAGTTTTATCTTCTAAAGTCCACATTATTTAAATAGTTGAAATAATAAGCGTAATTATTTACTATATAAGATTAATTTATTTTATAAGTACACGCAGTAACAAATACACGTTTGAAGCGATTAAAATCATGTTATTAAAATATCGATTTAAACATAATTATGTGTAGATTTTTTTTTATTATTATTTATTTATTTATTTTTCTATTTTGTTTCTCTTTTGTTTATCTACTGTGTATTTATATTTATTTTTGAAATTTGAATTATAGAATAAAATAATAATTTCAATACAAGGAAAAGACCGAAGGCATTCCGAATAAATCGTTCATCTTGCGTTCACCGTTCGTTCACCGTTCACTTTGCGCTCGCGTTCGCGCTCCGTTCGCGTTCTGCGTTCACTCACCGTTTATTGTTCACACATCGTTCACCAAGTTGCGTTCACCGTTCGGACACCGTTCACTCACCGTTCGCTCTGCGTTCGTTCAGCGTTCGTTCACCGTTCGTTCACCGTTCGTTCACCGTTCAGGTGGGAAAGTAGAACGTTTCAGGGACTGTAATACTCAGCCTGTTTGAACCAGTATATATCTGTTGTTAAATGTTCCAGTTTATTAGTGCCTTACAAAAGTACCCAGTAGACAAAATAAAACTTTCAGATGGTCTGCTTTATTTGATTACACACAGATTTAACTTTTTTCTGATATGGAAAAAGGGGGTAATCGGTTGGCTTAATTTAATTAAATATACAACACTTGACATGCAGATTGATCTAAGATTTTTTTTTTTCAAAATTCGCCATTGTCTTTTTGTATTAACCTAGCAAGTACAAAGCGTTGAAAAAGAAATCTACCAGGAAGTCATGAAAAATCTTTCACAACTAGGACACTATGATAATTGACCAGTGTTCCATAAAAAAGACTGCACGTTTGTTTCAAAATTAATTAAACCAATTAAAGAACCTTTAAAAATTAAAATTTGAGGTTAGTAAGATTTAATATTGATCTGGAAACTGACATCTTTTCGTTCAACAGTTTTTATTTCTTGCCTATGAATTTGGTTCAAGTTTTTCTGAAGTCTACGGAAGAAAACAAGTTTCATTAAACTTTGATATATGTTAAAAGTATATTTAAAAATGCATTTTCCCGATTGCATAGAAACCTGTGTTTTTTAATCCTTATATTTTTTAGGTCAATATATTTCAAATTTTATAAGTATACAATTTAAGAGGATTGAATATGGTGAATTTAAAGAAATATCTTGTGAATACAGATAAGATTGTATGAAATATTATTTTTAAAAATATGTACTTTCTATTACATATATACGAGGGCTTTTAGATAAGATTTTATTGTGAAAGAGGTCCTTGCATAAATCAATAAAGTTCTGTAGATAAGATAAAATTAAACGTATTTTTCAATAAATTTGCAAGAAAATGGTTGTTTCTTATTATTCTAAAAAGATGCAGCTACATGTATTTCAGGGAGAGGGAAAATTCTTAGCACGTTTATATTGCATTGTTTGAAAAAAGAAAACAATTGTACCGTTGTAGCACGTTAAATATAATAATAGTTTCATGGTCCTGAAAATAATCATAAAATGAACTTTAGTAAACATTTTAATTAAATTGAGTGTGGTATTGCTTTTTTGGAATAATACAACCAGATCAAAACCGATTTGATAATTTTTACAACAAAATTCCAATCCAAAAATGTGCCAGTCTTACAACATAAAGTTGGAGAAAGTGTCATCAACAGTAAAACGTCTAGGCACCCATTTTGACAAGTTTCTCATCATAGAAAAGAAGGTGACGTCCATCATTAAAGCGTGTAACTAGTATCTCCGCAACATTGGATTGATTGATTGATTAATTGTATATTGTTTAACGAGAAAAATGAGATCATATCTCTCTGATTGTTGATGATTTGCACTGACTTTAAGTGGAATTTCGCTTATAGTACATGATCCTTGCATAAACCTACTAGGCAGTGTAGTAATATGCTCCAGAGTATTTACATAAACTGATTACTTTCCGTAAAACTAACCGAACGCTTAGATCGATGGGAAGTTTACAACTCAATCTACCGAGGGTATGCACTGGGACGTATGGCAAAAGACAATTTAACTTTGCCACAGCCCATTTATGGAACGGTCTCCCAGTGCACATTCAAGAAGCCAAATCAATCCAGTGTTTTAAATATTTTTTTTCATAGATTAGATTTAAATTACGTTTTAGATTTATCTACCTAGTTTTTTTTTAATTAACCAGTAAATTACATGTACAATGTACATGAAGATGATCAACGCGTTAGTCAAAAAGGGCAAGTCATTGGACGTGGAGCATCAAGCTGTAAAAAGATAAATGTGTTCAGACAGAAGAATGCCCTAAACAAACTTAAATATTTTAGATGTTACTGGACATTACCTAATGTAGCTACTTGTAAGACAAACGTGTTCCATAGGTACAGTTTCCTTTTTGATTGCTTAACTGCGAATATATTTTTTTTTGAAAATCTAACCAATGTCCTACTCTATGCGAAAAATGTTTTGAAAAATATCTCGATATAGTTATTCAATTTCCTAAATACGAAAAAATTATTACGAAAAATTAATAGTTCTGAGAGATATTTAGAACCTAAAAAAGGGTTGACAGGTATTAAATCAGGTTGTAACATTGTCTAACCTAAGGTGATTGCTTCGTGAACCCTTTGACAACACAGTTTAAATCAATGGTATATTTTCAAAATTTTAGTTAATTTTTTACACGCATTTACTAATAAACAAAACATTACAATTTAATCAGATATGCGTCATTCGTCAAAGTACACAATATATTTTATTTAAATTTACGATTCTACGGACTTTTTAACAAAACCCATATGTAATTTCTTTTAAATATTTTAATTTCAATTCAATTTCATTTAAACCTAAGTCGTGATGTATCAGGTGGAAAAATATTAAATCTGGTAGTCGCCAGATATGATCCCCAGAAAATTTATTTTCTGGCGACTGTTAGTTATATCTATATAGCAGGCGCTAGATATCTTTTATCTGCCTGGCAATTTTCGGCCGCCGTAATTCATCTATGGAAAGTATTTAAATTTTTTAAATTAAATTACTGGACATTACATCACTTCTTAACATGTGGATTTCCTTATATAAATCTGTTAAAAAATTAATATAAACGAATACATTCTTAAATATTTTAGTTAACATTGTATTGTAGTATGTCTAAATTTATTCATTGAATTGTGCAAAATCAGTAACCAGATTTTTAATTGGTATGAGAATCAACAAGGAAGTTAGAAACTATTGAGCAGTAAGCCAAATACAATAGCTGACAAATTATCCGAACAATGAATACATATTCCCTTTAAATAGACTTAGTACACGTGAACCCAGAAGACAAATTACCTATTGTTAACATTAAATCTAGAGATAAATTTATTAAGTACCAAGTGGTGTTTTTTTAGGAAACCATATTGCGCTTTCCTTGGTACTTTATAACAGTGCAAGAGACTTGCAAAGGTGTTCATTTCATAAATATATACAAACCTTCTTTTCTTGGTGTTCATCCTCATAAAGATAGGTGTCTCAATTATTCCTTTTTAGTTATTTTCTCACTAATTATGAAATGTGTTCGAAACATTCGTTTTTATATATACTGTTGGATAATTCTGTAATGGTTTTTTCCATAAATCTCAGGTAATTTTGTTACATATATTCTGTTTGAGGTTGATTTGAGAACTCAAATAAGACAACCCATACAATGTATACATATACAAGTACTGTTAAAAGTAAAAATTCTCGCTGTTCAAGATGGAAAAAATACAATTTTGTGATACTTTATATTTGATCAAATATTTATGAAGAAAAAAAAACAAAGAAAGGTTTCTAGAATTTCATATAAAACTTTATTCTAAAATAGAAAAAAAGAAATTCATATTAATTAGGCGTATGCATTTAACATGTATGTATAACTATGCATTGTTTGTCTTTTTTTTTCTATTTAAATTTTTGGCATTTGATTTATAAACGTAGATTCTATGAAATGAATGTACAAGGAATATTTCGTTTTATAGCCAAAGTCACATTTAAAAGATGAATAATTGATTAAGTAAATCTAACAAATAAAAAAAATGATTAGCAATTAAACAGAAACAAGAAAAATGATATATAAATGCAAAACAAAAGAAAGCAACACAATAAAAAGACGTTCAGTAATTCATTGCACATTTGGTGGTTAAACGGTTGTTATTTTCAAGTTCTCGTACTTCTTGTACGAATAGTGTAGGAATGGTTTGACATCAATTCACAAGAACAAACGATAGCAATTGCATATAAAAAGTGATCAAATCCATCTGTCACTGAGAAGATCACACGATTTTTTTCGTTCAGAAATTCGCATACACACAATCATTTCGAATAAATTCTGCCACTACCTCATAACAAAGCTGGTACTCCTCCTAAAAAAGATGAAAATATATTTTAATGCAATTATTTTGTAAAACACCTTTTGATTGGCTAATGCACTGATGTTTGAAGCAGTAAAACGAGTATGAACGAGGCAGGAAGCTTTTCATTGTGACGTCATAATAGAGCAACGCAAAAAAAACAATGCCCCGTGACGTATTTTATGTAATGAAATCAACAAAATAAGACGTAAACAACAAACAAAATGCATGGATTGCATTAGAATGGGAATAACCATCTTCTATTTTGGTATTCGCGTCGCCGGTAAAACTCAGTTTGCGACCGTTAAATCAGCATTAATGGTCGCAAATACCAAATTAGAAGATAGTCATTCCTTCATTCTATTTTATCTCATTAGGTGATAAATCTTTTTTAGAGAAATAAACATCGTGTGCATTCATGTTAAGTTTGTTTAAAGCACGATTTGTTATCATCACTTAATGAACTTTTGAAAAGCTAATATTAATAAGAATAAAGCAAATGAGCTATTTACATTGAAGTCCATGTTCTTAATGAAAAATATCATCATGTAAAAATACATGTATAATCATCATGTTCATAGACACCTTATTCAGACTGAGTTAACATGTGTGTAAAAATATGTTCAGATGTGTAATTGGCTATGATTTTATGATGCTGGTAAATGGATAATGGACGTATGCTACAGTAAACATTTCAATTTATTTACATGTACGTGTACTAAGTTGACGCGCGAAATGCTTTAATAAATATTAAAATTTTACAGGCATATGTTGAAAATGATTACATACCAAAACTCGTTGTTGAATGCAGAGAAAAGTAGGTATTGATGAAAGGTAATTGCAAATGGTCATTAATGATAATACTTAAGTGGAAAATGGTTGTATATACCAAGTTAGACACAAACTCAGGTCTACGGATCTGAAGTTGTCGTGTGATGGTGAAGATGTCCACTTCCTGATCCATTGAGAGTTGTTCTAGAGCGTTATATACCACGCAGAATGTCCCACAACGTGTGGCGCCATCACTATCAAGATATAATTTGATCATTGTATCTAAAGAGTACTTAGATTATTGTTATCATAGAGTTGTTCCAGAGCTTTATGAACAACACAGAATGCTCCACAACGTGTAGCGACATCACTTTCAAGATATAATTAGATTATTGTATCTATAGAGTACTTAGATTATTATTATTGTGAATTACCTGGACAAAACGATAATTTTTCCTTCGTGATTGAGTTTTCCTGATTTTGCCTCTTTAACAACATCCAGCAAAGCTCTTTTGTCCGTTGTCTTTTTACCTTCTTTCCATGTCTTGCATTCTAGCACAGTTACCCTTGTGTCACTTAATCCCTGCATTTAACAAATTCCTTGTTATAAATGTAATATATTACTCACAAATTTAATATAATTATCTATAGTTTACTATAGTTAACTATAAAAATTCACTGATACTTTGTATTACATGTACTATGAAACTATAGTAAAAATACTTTGAATTACTAAAGTGAAAACAATGATTCACTATATTAATTATAGTTAACTTAAGTAATCTATAGTGCTTTTGTGATAGGGATGATTCCTGTAAATATCAATCAATTAGCAATTAGATTTATTAATATTTTGAATAATGAATAGGAGGTACAATGATCCTTTAATGTTATTCTATACCCCGTTAACTCCAAGAGAACATTGACAAAATACATGGAAAACCTTGCCTTTTCAACAAGATTATATTGAAACTTTTCATGCGGTTTTTGGATGAATAAACTTCAGTACCGTTTTCTATCAATTCTTGACAAAAAACCGTTTATACTTTTTTGACAAATTGTGCGCAAGATTAATCCTTACATTATTGTTTTACATTACATGTAGAAGGGGCATCCTCAGAATGTCAAAGTTTTGATACATATGTGAGTTTGGGTCTATTTTGTCGAAGAGGTATATGTTAAGTTTAAAAGAAACATATGATTTTTTGTATAAATTATACAACTTACGTTTTGCTGAAGCACAATGCTTCTTGTTGAAAAATTTGCTTGATTTGTTAAACTAGCCTGCATAATGGTAAAGTTTCCGACAGTCTTATGTTCAGTTTTTGACGGAACCCAAAGAGAAGACTGAAAACACGACAAAAATGATTATATTATTAACTATTTATGAACTGAACTGAAGCAACCACTATTAGCGATTTCTTAAACCCATTTTTTAAAAAGTAAAACATAACTTACGGATTTTAAATCCTTTAGCGGACACATGAAAACCACAACACGAGCATCAAAGTCTCTGATGAGTCTGAGGAAGTCTTCAGTGAAGTCAGGAAGTGGGTACTGGGCGCTGATCAGACTGTCGTTCTCTGTGTAGGACTAAAAGAAAATAACAGATTTGAAAATAAAATCAATAAAATCAATTTACTTGAGTTCCTTTATTTGAAGTTCATTAACTCCAATTTATCAAATAAAAATTTACTACCCATGTATATTTATGTTACAAGTCTGAAGCGTAAAAAACGACGATTTTTCTTTCTCTTATACGAATTTACATGGTTTATAAATACCGAACACATTCAAAATTGTTCAAAAGGTTTCTAAATAATGAATGTAATGAAATTTGGAGATTAGTTAAGACCTGAAGTGTAACTGCGTTGTAGTAGGTGTTTCTTCCCTTTGAATAAGATAAATAACACAAAAATTCGTCAACTGCAATAAAATGAACAGAAATTTTCATAAATCTTCTACCTGTTTCTTTTAAAGGTATTTTTTACATTGAAAATGTATTTTTTTCTTGTTTGATATAATTTTGAATTCAAATAAGTTAATGTTTTCTAAAAAAAAAAAACACTTGATAAAAAAAGAATAAAATATGTAAATATACGTGGCAAAACGCTGTCTGTATAGTTGGCAGCTTTATTTAAGCGTCCGGTCTCATAATCCTTCTGTTCATATTCCTTTCGAAGGGACAGTAAATCCTACAATTCATTGTTATTCATTATATGCGAACACTATGAGGGCATTAATTGAAATTCATTTCGTAATGAATAGATGAATAAAAGAACTGTTGATTCTAAGATAAAAGAAAAACCTAATACAATATTATGATTCTGAATAATAGGTATTTTAGAATCACATTTTCATTTTGTACAAAAGTGTGTCTAATTAGTTGATTATGAATAAAGTGAGCTACATTAATTAATTTCTGATAAAGTAAAATATGGAGTTTTGAGGAAAAAAAGTTGGAGAATTTTTTTTTTATATACATCATATTTCTCATTCATTTCTCGTCGCCCGGGTGGCGCAGTGGTTAGAGCGTCTGCTCTAGAGTCGCGAAGTAAGGAGTAAATCCTTACGTCGCGGGTTCGAATCCCACTGTGGGATGTGGAGACCGATCCTTCGGATGAGACCGTATAAACCGAGGCCCAGTGTCGCAGTAGGTGCTGGCACGAAAAAGATCCCTCACTGCTCAAAGGCCCTGAGTGCCGAGCATAGGACAAAATTTGTAGCCCTCCACCGGCATGCGGTGGCGTCTCCATATGAGTGAAAAATGCTCGAGAGGGACGTTAAACAACATACGATCAATCATTCATTTCTCTGGAAAAAAAAGGAAACATTTTGTTACTAATGTCAAATGAAGTTTTTTTTTTTTTAGTTTTGTAAGAAAATAATGTAGCCACCTGAAATTCTGACGACAAAGAAGATTTTGTTGCCAATTCTCCACAGTTGGTGTAACAGGACTGTTCTTGTAGCTCTCGTACAAATGACTCTGTTGTAAGGCATCTAGATTTCCCATTGAATGATTCACAAAGAGCAAGGTACACTGCCTTATATTGATCCTGAAAGTAAAAAAAAAAATTGAGTACTATGGGATAGTAAACAGATATTGTTCACAGAGAAAATAGAGGGTCGTTTTTTCTCTTAATTCATTCAAGGTTCTCTTAGAATTTTCAGCATTGTTTATGACACAAATGAAATAATTACTTAGTTTTCTTTTCATTTCCTCCAGTACTTTGAAAAAACATAATTTTCTCTAATAAATAAACACTGACTTTTAAGGCAGTTATATGGCTATGTATTTTTTATTGCTTTTGAGGAAATGTCTCACAATATCAAGATACATTTTTACTTTAAATTTCACATAAATATACTGTTCGTGTACATAAATTGACGAATCTTAAATTTTGTTCAATCACTTGGTATGAAGTTGTTTGCATATTCAAAAGTTTTAGCTACATTAACATACATTTACGTCGCACATTTTATATGTTTTTATATATGATTTTTTTAAGTGGTCTTCATAGAGTAGCGAATGGTTGTCTGTGTCAATAATGCTTTAATATGAGACCTGCAATGGTAATACATTTACATTATACAGTAAGCTGCAGAACTGTAGCTTTAGATATCTTTAAAAGATTCAGACAGATACACCAGAGAGCTCAAGATTCAAGCGTTGTGAAAACCTTCGATTTAAGCCGTCACTTTATTTTACACTCCCTTCAGGTATTATGTCATGTAGTTAATGCTTTTTGTTACACTTGCTATGATAGATAATTATAATATTTTACCCTGTTATTGATACTTTAAATACCTTCCAAAGGTCCGAAACAGTTCTTTGTGGCTTTGGAATGTTGGATTTAAAGATAATATTAATATTATATAATTATGGACTGTTAAGGCAGGTCCACACTTTTACGGATCCGGTTTTAATTTTGCAAACTAATATAAAAGGCTGATCAACACATGTCTATTGAAATAATATCTTTTTGGATGATTGAAAATAATTTAGCAAGTATATATTTGTTTATTATAGTGTCATTGTGCACACAAAGCATTTAATGTACATTATTTATAGGAATAACCACTTTGCACTCTGTCCATAGGATCTATATGTAATTTAGTACATACACAGACAGAGAATTCTTAATTGCCTTTATGGACCTAAAGCTTTTTAATTTTTTAAAACAAACTAACTTGAGATCTATTTATCTTTAATTTTTAGCCTATATCATCTTTTTAAATTTACTTTTTAATAAGTTTTGCGAAAAACGATTGAAAAAATAGATATTCCAAAAATGGGGGTATAGGTGTTCAAAAGGCTGTTTTGTAAAAATTTTCTGGTCGACCATAATAAAGTATGTTTTTTTGCTAACCTAAGATATAATTCTAAATAATTGTGAAGAAAAAATAGCATATAAACATATAAGATTTTGAGCAATATTTAAAATAAAGATATTTTGAGCTTTTTCTCTGAAAGATTTTGATAGAATCAACATCAATTTTTTAGTGTTTTCAAATAGAAATTTCAATTATTTTCTTGACAAATGAATATTTATAATTTTCCTAAGTTTTAACAATAATTGGATGTGATTTGGTACATAGCTAAATAAAATATGATGTTACACTTCTATATGTTGAATTTTTGCTGTTACATTTTTAGAGGTATATACTCCGAGACATGTTGCATGAAAATTAACCTGCAAAGATATGTTTTTTATGGGTGTTTTAGTTAGATTATGACTTATTCAAGATTTTCAAATCAAAAAATAAAGAGTTTGACAGAAAATTCTGAAAGTACAGACCTACCTTAAGAAGGAGATATCACCAAATGCAATCATCAGGTCTAAAAAGTAATATCTTGCTTTTAAACAGTCCATAATAATTTCATTATCCTGAAGAATCTGGATTATAAATAGATAGAATATAAAATAGAAATCAATTTGCTTGTGTTCTCCTACTCTGCCCTGATTCCATACTTTCAAAATATTCAACAGACAACTTCGACGTCATCATTAGAATTTATTAATTACCGATCCTGCATATTTTGCAAGTGTACATTTAGCTGCAGAACTGTAGCTCTTTGCTTGAGAAATTCGGACTGATAAAGCAGAGCACTACAGATCCAAGCTTGTAAGAACCTTCGATTTATGCCGACTATTTTTTGTCGCTCACTATGAGTATTTTTTCGTGTATTTTATACTTTCCCCAGCTTTGAAAATGATTTTAAAGGGTATTTAATAATAAATCGTATATTCATCTTCAATTTCTGATCATTGGCTTACCTCTCAACGCCTACAAATGGCTATTTGTGGTTACGGATGTCGAAATGGAACTCTTTTAAACCGATATTACAAAACTATATACAGGATTGTTTCCGGACCGTTAAAAGGTAAATAAAGTATTTAATATAAGAGTTAAATATATGAATTAACTCTTTACAACTTACTAAACTGTTATGCAACATACACTTAATGTTCACGTCATATAAATAGAAATTTACCATTTCCACGCAAGCACCTTATGGCGTGGTGCACATTTCTCCTAAGTTTAGCGTAAATAATATAATGACGTTAAATTTTAATGCAAAAATAACTTCTCTTATTTAATAAGATATTTTAAAGTATTAAATAAAAGGAAATTGGCATTAAATTAAAGTTTAACTGAACTTTTTAAAGTGCGTGAAAATGCGTGATTGCGGGGAAACGGTATTTGCGTGACTGTGCCGTAAAAATATGAAATGGTATATGCGTTAAAAAGCGTGACTGCGGGGAAGGGGGTTAATATAGGATACAATTCTAAAAGCCATAGAAAGCTTAAACTACACGAAATAAATACCTAAAGTAGCGACAAAAAATCGACTGTGTGAATCGAAGGTTATTAAACGCTTGGATCTGTAGCTCTCTGCTTTATCTGTCCGAATTTTCTCAAGCAGAGGGCTACTGTTCTGCAGCTAGTGTACATTTATAAATAAGAACAATCTCGCTTTAACCACTGTAATTTTCATTCAAAGGGCGAGAACACACTTGTAACCCTGCATGCTTGTTTACGCTATTTTATTGTCATCTGAAGGGTGACATGAGTAGTCACCCTGCGCGTGAGGGAGACAACACGAATTGTCTCACCTCATGTGACGTGCTCTGAACCAATCAGATTTACTGTATAATTCTGAAGGATAATAAGTAATTTTCTGGAACCGTTAAAAGGAAAAATGTAGATAGATTATCTGGTTATATATGTGGACATCATTCTTGAACCAAAAGAAATCATAAAATGCAAGAAATATTACCCAAACTGAGCGACAAAAAAAAAGGTGGGTGACGTAAACCGAAAATTTTATAAAGCTTGGATCGTCAGCACTCTGCTTTATATGTCCGAATTTTCTCACGCGGAGAGCTACGGTTCTGCTGCAGTTAGATATGTCATCAATAGAAAAAAAATACGAAGTGCATGACAAAGATGAAAAGTTCAGTACGTTCACGATTATTTTTAACAGTGAAAACAATGTGAAAAGTATGTCTAATTTAGGGCCTGATCTTTGTTTGCTTTCAGTGTAATATATTTAGAACACATATTTACTTCCTTATCTTAATTTCCTTACAATTCCCTTGGTAGAAATACGGGTTTAGATATCGAGGTTAGGCCAGTCGAGTTTGTTTTTATGTTAAGAGTCCGCGGACGGACTGGCTTTGCGTTTTTCATGTTTATGTAATCAATCACAAACACAGAAAATGAACAAATACAAGTCTTTGAAACTCAATTTGCAAACATTCCATCCTTGGATCGATAAACATTTTCAAAATTATGTAGATAAACAGTTTTGTTTTAATGATCCAGTAGTTTTATTAAATTACAACATGCGCAATGCGAGTAATATTCCTAAATGCTTTCCCCCTTTAGATTAAACATTTCTTTTCAGATAAGTTTTGGAAGGTAGACTGGACGCTACAACTAAACTTTTATTGGCCTTATAAGGAAGCTGTGTCAATTTTTTCATTTAAAAGCAAACTAAAAGTATTGTTTTTCGTGAGTATCATTCGTGAAATTTTCCTTTATCGCAAATACTACACTACAATAAGGACAATCCTATCTCTGCGTTTGATAAGTTTAAATGATTCGACAATTGAAGAACCTTTTATGTTGTATTTTCCTTAAGGAAGCATTTAAAGGAAATTTACACCCAAGGAAATTATTTTTCAATGGACTACCTAAGTGATTGAATAAACAGCTCCAAGCAGATTATTCAATAAAGGAAATATTATGTCAAAAACGTAATCGTCGTATTAGCTTTTTAAACTTGAAAGCTTTTTTTTTAATTTAAAAAGCGGGTTTTGTTACTTTTTATATAAGTAGCATTCTATGCTTTTTTTCAACATATTCGTAAAAAAAATTATATCCCAAGGCTTTATCTTTAAAAAAACCTCCATACTTTTTAGAAGGCAAATATATCTTTTGTCGAGAATGTCACAAGTATTAATGTAATACCTTCCATTTAGACTATCTCAAATGTGCATTTAATGTGTACATTTTCCTCCTGGGATTAAACTAAAAATTGTGGACATACTTAAAAAAAATTTTTTTTACCTAGTTTTCATCCAAAAGAGTAGGAGTCTAATACAATTTAAAAAGGTTGTATGTTAAGAAGGGCCAGCAAAAATGTCGATTTTAATCTCGTATTATTTAGACATTCGAATATGCATATGTTTACCATAATTCCATATTTCTACTGCTTTCGACATGAAATGTGAGCATACAATCTGAATACACGCAGTGTTTACAGACTACAAACGTTGGGTTATCTAATGGGTATCTTCCTACAGTTCTTTTAAGGACACTCACGTCGCCTTGTATCATGTTCATTCTGTCTTTTCTCATGGTCCTGACATACATCGGTACATTGACTTTCCCATTTCTCTCCCCTTCCCGGTAGAGGGCGTCTAAAGCAATGCAAGTTCCGGTTCTACCAATCCCCGCGCTAGAAATATAATAGGAGAAGCAAAATTACAAAATGTGATCATCAGCAAATATTTTTGACAATAGAGAAAATAAGACTTATTTTGCATTTCAAAATCGGTTCATTTAATAGAGGTATGTGGTTGATAGCAAGAATGGTTTTTTCCTGCATATAAAACAAATCAGGCATGTCATGCCCGGGTTTCCTACATTTCGTAACCCTATTTTTAAGAAAAAAAAATATTTTCAGCAAAAAATTAAATTTTGTAACGTTTATCTCCTTTCAGTCATTTTGAATTAACTTTTATACAATAATAAAGGAAACAGTCCTGTAAGGAATCCTCAAGGAGCAAAAAAAAAAAAAATAAATGCCACGAAACCTTTAAAACCGATACATGTATATGTCTTTTAATTACAGAACTGACCAGCATATTGAATGCAATTTCGCGCCATCACACAAAATAAACGTCTGCAAAAGCGGTCCAGACGGCGGGGGTTATCTCTCTTTTTGAAACTCTCTGCAATACTGAGAGTCTTCTTTTTTCCTGACGTAATACATGTAAGCGCATGTTAGTTTGTTGTCCTTATTTTACTGGTAATTATAAGTGATCACTAGTATAATACGTATCAGCAATATACATGTATTGTCTCATTTTGTGAATACTTATTTTCGGCGATTTTTGGTTACATCTGTTCTTTAATAACTGAGCTTAGAGAGCATTTTTTCGAGCATTTAAAAAAGGAAAAGAAACAGAAAAGAAAAAACAAAACAAAACCAAATCTTTACATTATCAAAATTAAGTGCATTAATATTCCATTAAGAGCTGACACAATTGTTCAAAAAAATAAATATGAAATACAGTCGCCCGTTGCAAACGAACAACATTTCAAGATATCATTTAAATATACATGTGATGATGTTCCAAACCTGTATTCGTATTAAAAAATGAAAAAAAAATGGAAGGGATTTTATATATTTTTCAGTCAAAACGTATTTGATTTTGCTTAATTCTTGAAAAACTATTTCGTTGAGAAAAGATAGCACCACATGCCCATTAATGAATTTGCTCAAAAGTGACAAACTGGATTAATTAATTGAGTGTTGTTTTACAATATATTAGGAACCTTTCACTCATATAGAGACGTCACATATTCCAGTGTTATTGAGCAGCTAGAGATCTTTATCGTGCCAATTAACGCCTACCGAATACCATGACCAATGACCTCGGTTTTTGAGGTCATTTAAAAGACCCGCGACTTTAACTTCAAATTGTCGGACGCTTGGCGCAGGAACATTTGATATCTATTGATATGGACTTAGGGTCAGTCACGGTCGTGATTCAAACAAACAACCTTTCAATCATGGAGCTAGCAATCTTCCACCTGATCTACCGTGACAGTTTGTGACACATAGAAATGTTCATATTAGGATAATTAATGAACAAATGATCACGAGAGAGAGAGAGAGAGAGATGTTGATGAGGGATTCGAACCTGCAGTGTACCACAGTATATTTTGCAGGGTGTTGTGAAGATACTCTCATCACGTGACGATGGAATATAACAAGACTGAGTGGGGCAGGAACCCCGTGGTCTGGCCATCTTGTGTAGTGAAACATAACAACTTCCCTAGTTGTTTTTTCCTTTAATTTAAGATTACAAACATTATATAAGCTGTATTTAAATAATGGAATTTTGAAAATTATTTTCATGATCAATGCAAAACTCTAATTATTATTATTATCATTCTTATTATTATATATGCATTTTATAATCCATAATGTTCCTCTTAGCGTTTTTAATAAACAAAGAAACAAATAACATCATAATTAATTGTTAATGTGCGCACAGTTTGCCGTAGAATATTCAAAAAATCAACTGCGCCTTTGAAATAGGCCGAATTTACTTCAATCAAAGCTTATTCTAATTGCTAAGTCTAATGTAGATTAATTAATGGATTAGATATTATTTTACGTCCGTCTTGACAATTTTTACTCAAATGGAAACGCCGCCACTTGCCGCTGAAGATCTCTGTTTATACGGCCACATACGAAAGTCAGGTCTCCTCGACAGAAAGTCGGATTTTAAACCGCGACGCAGTGTCAATCATCCTTACTCCTCGGCTATAGAGCAGATGTTCTACCACTGTGCCACGCAGGAACGTCGATTTAAAAAAAAAATCGCCTACACATCAATTTAGAAAAAAATATGAAGAAATAAACAATGTTTATTTTAAATTAATTCTAAATTTTATATCACCTTATATCTTATTTGATGTCTTATTTCGAAAAGTCTTACGCAATTATTTTATCATTTTCTTACTACGATTGATGATGATGATGTCATTCTTACTATTTTTTTTATGGAATGACTGTTGGAACATATTAAATATTTGTAGAGAAGTTATAATGGATCAAAACACAAAGGACCCCTATTATGTCTTGACAATTTTTAAAGGTTATTCTATGCACTAACAAAAAACCCATGTTTTGTAAAATATATGGTGCCTAAACACAAGAAAAAGATTTCAATTAACTATTTGAAAGCACGTTGGGGGAAAAAGACAAACAAAAGATGTTTGTGAAACACATATGCCACCCCCTTAGACAGACATTTAGGGGTGCACAAACTTTTATTAAAGACAGTTTACATTATGAAATGTATACGTGTGTACATGTAAATGCAAAATCTGAATACCTTATTTCATTTGAGTATGTGCAATCTCTGCAAAGAAAATTAATTAGAAACTGCAAATCATTGGAATAATTCCAATAATAAGTCCAAGGGGTATAACTCTGTCCCCGGAGATAAAACAACCTTCAATTCTCACGGATAAACGAAATTATGCCAAATTCAATAATAAAAAACATTTTCTTGTGGTTTGCTATACTTGTTGGACCACATCTACATGCATGTAAATATCTCTGTTGTACATTTAAATATACCGGTACATGTCTTGAAAGAATTCTCGATTTAAAAAGCTGTCAAAGTTTCATTCGTTAATATATTTATAAAAAGATTAGGCCTATCAGGATCTCTTAAAAGAGTATATGTACGGGGGGGTTAACAGTGTGACAAAAATCAAGAGTTATGAAAGTCTTTAGAAAGAATGCTTATTTTAAATCACTGCATCGTTACACGTTTAAGTGATAACATTCTAATCCAAATCTCAGCAAATACGCATGTGTAGGAAATTCGTGTATTTTTGACACCATTTGACACCTCCTCTCAATCGGAAAGTGTAAAAGAGGTATGCACTTGGAATTCGTAGCTTAAGTGAATATGAGCAAAGCATAAAATTTGGCCTGCCGAATTTAATGACAGAAATTAGTTGAAAAAATTCGGTAGAGACATTAAAGAATGATGAATGTGTCAAATCTACATGACAATAATCATAAAGGACTATGGAAAATTACAGATATAAACAGGTAGGCCTTTACCTTTTTTTTGTTTGTTTGTTTAAGAAGGAATTGATTCCTTAGACCCTTTTCTGAAAAAAAAATTGTTCTTATCTTTCAAAAAAAAAAAAAAAAAAAAAAAAAAAAATTATGTATGTTTGCAGGAATTCCGAAGAACAATGCCTTATTTTTTGTAGAATGTCTTCCATTTCATTTGATGAAAAACATGATTTAGGTACTTCATTTTTTTTAAATGTACAATTATAAGAACATTTGCACAAACAATTGCCTGCATTTATAGATAAGTGTTAGAGAAGACATGTGACTTTAAATGAATTTAAGTAAAAAAATTCCCACCATTTTACAGAAGATGTTCCTATATAAATAGTCTTTTTAAGGGAATGAATATTAAGATTCACAAGGAAAATATATACATTATGCTTTCGTTTTCTTGTACTTTATTTATGTAAAAAAAAATAAATCCAAATAGCTTTCGGCTATCATTTGTTTCCTTTAGTAATATATATCGGTTATATATCTGCTATTGTTTCTAAATCACGTATAAATGTGATTATATGACCTTTGTTGCTTCTCTTTGCATTCAATTTTGGTTAAAAACGCCAACGATAAAACAAAATTGCATTCAAATAAAAGTTCAAAAACTTACTTCAGTCATTTTCAATGTGATCAATTGCTTTGAAAAAAAAACAAACTTAAGTAAAAGTGTTATGACTCTCTGTTATTACATTCAAATCATTGATTTACCAAAATAAACTTCTTGGATCATCAAATATTTTGCAAATAAGAAATAAATATCTTATAACACTAGGCTTCTATTAACTAGTTTTACATTATTGTTGAATTTGCTTTCCATACTTTTGATTGAGCAAAGAAAGAAAAGTTTCACCTTCCTCAATATTGAAAATTTGTTCATGCTTTTTCTAAGGTTTGCCAACAATACTTTTGAGTTAGACATGTATTTAAATGCTGTGGCTGCATTATTATATACCTAAGAGCTGAGAATTATCTTACATACGCTATAATGCTTTTTAAAAATATTTGCAAGCTTTTTCCTGAGTAATTCATTTAAAAATTTTAATCTAGGGTGCATTGCTGATTTCTACTGACTTTTTATATGTAACAAAATTATGTTTTTAATGCATTGTTATCATTATTTTCAGATCAAGTTTGTTGTGAAGACTACTACCTTATATTCAATCCAAAAATTCAAAATCAAGACTCACATAGACCACTTTTTTCATTAAAAAAAAATAACATATTATGCATTTTAGTTGTCATCCGCATGGCGCAGTGGTAAGAGCGCCTTCTCTAGAGTCGCGAGATGAGGAGTTGATCCTTACGTCGCGGGTTCGAATACGACTGTGGGACGTGGAGACTGGTCCTTCGGATGAGACCGTATAAAGCGAGGTCCCGTGTCGTAGGAGCTGCCAGGAAAAACATTCTTCCCCGCTCATTGGCCCTGAGTGCCGGGTATAGGACAAAACTCTCCAAAGTTCTCCACCGGCAAGTAGTGGCGTCTCCATGAGTGATAAATACAAGAGAGGGACGTTAAACAACATCAAAACAAACAAGCTTCAATTTTAGTTAATAACATAAAAAAATAAAATGTATGGGAAAGTTTCCATAATAGTTGTTTAATAACGTTGGCTGTACCATTGCCATTTTTTTTTGTTGTAAAAATTACATTATACTTCCTTCTTGTTCGGTCTCCTAATCCTATGTCAATATATACAAAAATATTGTCAACGAACCCCCTCCTTATGTACAAATGAAAGGTTCAACAGATATTTAATACCATAATTACCGGTTCATTTAAGTATATCCGGAGCTCAAAAGGAGTGGTTGTTCTATTTACCTTTCCGTGTCTGTCTGTGTGTGTCCGTCTGTTTGTTGACAAATGTTTTAGTTTTCTCAGCAATTTTCATCGCACATGACCGATATTTAAGTAATCTATCTCTCTTTAGTTATGCAAATTGGATGGATGTTTTTTCTCCCAATTTGATGTCATAAATTAAAGTTGTGTCTTTTACATGAGAGCATTTATTTAAAAAAAAAGAGCTGGGTAAACGTTTAGAATCAAAATTAGATGGATAATTCAAATATTTTTACAGATTTTATGAAATATGATGTTAAAAGGTTCGCAGAAAATAACACAATAGCATTGTGAAGTGTGAGTCTTCATAGATGAATGCCAAAAGAATTCCTTTACATTTTTTAAGCATGAAAGTAAACTAAATCGGATGTATCAATATAATTTAATTAGCCCAGATTAAATAAATCATGATGAAACTCATTCCAAAAAAGAAAAATAAATAAATAAAATAAAATAAATGATTAAAAAGACAGGAAATAAAGGATACAGTTTTGTATTACCACACGTTTGTTGATTTTGAATCGCCTTATTGTGTAATTAGCATGACATTTTTCTTCTATATTTTTTACAAGAACATCACCAATCAGTTTATCTTTGGTGCTTGGCCAATATTGTGCACATTTTGTCTAGAAAGAGAAACAATATCAAAACAGAGAATTATTAAGGAATTATCAACTCGAATGTGTTTGTAGAAGGGGAGAAACAATTAAGGAGCTAATTAAATCGAATCATCTTTAATAGATATAATTAACCCTACTTAAAAGTTGTTTTGACTGTTCAAATTTTAAATAGCCAAAAATGTTATGGCTAAATATTGTAAAAAAACGCAGTACAGTTAAGGCAACACATGAAAAAAATATGGTAATGAAGTCATAATGAGATCTGACGTCATGACAGTTGCTCCTCCCTTATTAATCCTTATAAGGAAATGGTGCTCGATATAACTATTTACCGATATTTGCAAGACTTTGTAATAAACAGCAATATCTTCATGTTTAAATAGAAAATAATTAGTGATTTTCTCGTATATAAAGTAGCATGTCTTTAAAATAATTCTCTTTTTAATGAGTCGTTTGGCTGCATTCGGCTTCAGCCAAGCGCTTGCACTCGGTGACACGGAATGTTGTTTACATCTACAAACGTGGCGGCATCAGCTGAAATTTGCAGTGGATTTAAATGCAATAACCACACAATCTTTAAAGAAATAAGGGATAAAATAAGAGACAAGGCATTGCTTTTCCCTTTTACGAGAATATGAGGACATTATAAGCAGAAAACTGAGACGATTTGCACCAGCTTCGTAGATCTATCGCTGCGCTGCTATTCCAGGCCAGGTATGTATATGCATACGTAGATACATGTGTAGATCTACAATATGTAGACATTCTTTTGTTTACATAAAAAAAACCGAGTGTGTACATGTTCATTTAAATGTATTACATGTATCACAGTCAGTGAAAAATTGTAATGCAGTGCGTTGTGTGTAACCGTCCCCCCCCCCCCCTTCCCTAAACTAAATTGCACACTTTTTATTATTAAATTATTGTTAAAAATTAATTGCACTAAATATGTACTGAGTTCTTGTCAATTAGCTTATTTTCTTTGAGACAATATGTGTAATTATGGAGGTCATCAGTTACACAAATTAAAACTAAATTAAATGAGATGTTTTCATTGTTTCACTCAATGATTCACTAGTGACTAGTTGCATACAAATATGCTAAACAATTACAAAAAAAATATCAGTATCATTTTGTTGAAAACAGAGAAACCCCACTTCAGATCTATGGTTGTATATTGTAGAATTTCTAAATTAATGAAAAAAAAAAATTATTCATTTTTTGTTTACATGTACATTAAAAATATTTATATAATACTTTTATCATTGTAGCTGTCAAGAGTTTCAGGCTTAAAGAATGAATAAATAAAAAATGCATCATTTCTCCACAGGGTATGTATACTTCTAAAGCATTTCAGTTTTAAATTATGCATGTTGTTTGTTTGTTTGGTTTTTTTTTTTTCATTTTGGTAAAGGAGAAACTCAGAATGTTTTATTTAGAAAATATTCTATTAATAACTATTGTAAATCAGAGGTTTCACTTTCCCAGGGAAGTTTTGTAACACATTTTTTTTCCATTTATATGAATAACATAAATCACTACAGTATACAATGTAGCATAATTTGTTTTGTCAAATGTAATGCTATTTTATTCTACAATAAATATTTAGTAATCTCATATAACTGCATATATATATTGTGTTGTAGGCATAGCTATTCCCAAAATGTTGGACTAATGGATTCACTCAGGCAACAAGTTAATCCATCATTTAAGGAAAATGGTATGCTCAATATAAGCTATAGATCATACAAAGTTTTGATAATAAAACTAACAGAAGAATTGAAAACTTGTATACATTCTATGTTAAATGTTTCAATACATTTTTCATTTCATTTTTTAAAACACAAATTACTTTCAATTATGGTATTTCATGATTTTTTTAATATTTTCAGAATGCATTTTATCCACAAGAAGTCAGAACTTGAAGTGAAGGAAATAATTTGCACCTGTCCAGCATTCCTAGTCTGTCGTTGGATTTGAAAAGAAATGTTTTTTAAATAAATTTTCTAGATAAATAATAATTTGACTTTTTCATGTATTTACTGTACAGGTGTTGAAAAGACTATTAAGATTTGAGAATCTTAACTTGCATACTATTTTGTGTGGAGGGCACTTATTTCCAACATGTGCATTGTGTTCATTCATTTTTCAATAATATTACCAAAAACAGGAGACAAGAGATCCCCCGAATTGATTCAAAATTGGATAGGGGACCACCATTTGATTCTGAGGAAAGGGGAGGGGGGCTGGCAAGTTTTTCGAAGTCATATTTTTCATTTTCATGTCAATGAAGGACAGATTAATATTTATTTCCGATCAATAAGATGAAGAACAGATTATTTATTTATTTTCCTCTTCATTGAAAAGTCTAACAAGCAAAAAAAATGAAAAAAAAGACTCTGATTTGTGAGAGGGGGGATCACTGATCTGCAAGTATTTATTTATAAAATCTGCCAGCCCCTCTGACAACCTTAAAATAAAATAGTTGTCCCCTAAACAAATAAAGGAGTATACCCCAATCCCTTTTAATTAGTTCCTAAAACATAACTTGTTTAAATCCCTTAATTAACAGTGAGCAGTCTAATTAAAAGCGATCGTAGAACATGATCATGTATGCAGAAAGAAAAAAATATTAACACAAGTGTGTGTACCATAGGCGTTGGAAGCAAAATGAAAGGGGGGCTAAACCAAAAGAAAAAGGTAAACTCCAATGCCTACATTATGTATATAATTTGTAAATAAATAGGGAGGCAAAGCCCCCCCCCCCCGGTTCCGACGCGTATGCGTACAGTAGTGAGAGAGGGGTATAATTATCTAATTAATTATTAATGGATCCTATAACTTAATTAACAATTTGTGTTCTACATAAATACATGTATATCGGCAATATGTATTAGACCTATGTGTGTGTAATACTACATGTACATACACATCTTTGAGGAAATGCGGGAGGTTTGAAAGACATTAAATGTAAACAATGTATGGAGAATGAATACACAGAATAGAGAGAAACATCAAGGATTTTATGCATACCGTTTTGATTTAGTAAAAAAAGAGTCCATTCCTGTCCGCTTGTATATTTGATTAAAATATACAAGGTAAATAAACTATATCAAGTACTCAAGAGTTATCTCCCATGCTGGGTCATTGATGCGTTTGAAAACTATAATTAGATTGACTCTTCCAAAATTTCAATTTTTAATCAGAAAGTGCAAGCGCAAGGCGACAATCTAAAAAGCAGGTTTTTATTTTAAATTATTTATTTTATTGTAAAGTTTTCAAAAAGTGATGCTCATTTCTTTGTAATCATTTAGTTAATTTACAATTCGCGATGAAATTAGGAAAATATCCTATTTTTCATGCATTACTGTCTGTTTTAGCTGAATAACTTAATTATATCGGAAAACTAACTGAATGAGCATCACTTTTGAGAAAGTATAGATACATAGAGACAACATAAAACATTGTGCAGTTAATTTTTTGTTTGCCTTGCCCTTGCACTTTTTGGTTAAATTTGACGTCTCAGTTTTTGACCTAAAATCGGAGCCCACGTGACCTCCAGGGGTCACATGATGTCAAAAAATACCGATGTGAAAAGCGATTGGCATACTCTTCAAGATAACAAATAGCTATTTTTACCAGAGTGTCTTGCTCAAAAATAATACTATTAAACATTATATGTATCGGATTCCGTGACTTTTTGTAGAAAATGTTGCCTTAACTGTACTGCGAAAAAAGAAATTATTTTATACATGTATCTATTAAGTTAAAAGTTAAGGGACTTAACTACATGTATATCGCTGAATAAATAACACAATTATTTACAAACCTTATCCCCTTCTTTAAGATTGGTCAAGCAAACGATGATGGACACATTCTCTTGCCATATCATTTTCCAAAAATCAGGAATTGTCTTTGGTTTGGGACCTAATTAAAAGTAGTTTGCGTTTGAAAAAAAAAATCATAACAAAGTTATATCCAATCAAAAATGAATTTAAAAAAAATCATTATGCAGAGTATTTTATTTTGTTTTAAATAAATCAAATGTACACTTCTCCCGTTGCAATTTCTCACAGAAGGTCTCAAAAGAATGTATCAGAATTCGTTAAGGCAGGAATAACTTAATACAATGTATATTATGCCAATGACACTTCTTTTTCTTAAAGTCAAATCGAATGAGATCCAATTAGTCTTAGGAGGAATTCAATATTGATCGATCGATCTATAGAGAGAGAGAGGGAGAGAGAAGGCAAAAGAAATAGAGAAGTGGATCACATGAAACTGAATACTATTTTAAGAGGCATGAAACTTAAATTTAAACAATGCAACTGTGTAAATGCGACAAAACACAATGTTTTATTCATTTTGCGGCATCATTAAATGAATGAAATATATGGAGATAACACGCAGTATCCAAGGTTACGAAAATCCATTAAACAATATACAATATCAGCAGAGCAAACACAGACCTCCAAAACATCAACGATGGGATCAGGTGCCACGAAGGAATGAGCTCCCCTAACAACTGGTTGCATCTGCCCCTTCTCCAGATCGGGAAATAACAAAACAATATTTTTGCACAAACAAATAGAATGAAAAACGTCGGCCAGCATTTGTCTTAATTATGAATTGTATTTGCTGACAAGGTCAATGACTTGACCAAAGAACTAACGAACTTTGACTTCACCTTGTTATAAAGAAATGTTCATATAAGCAGAGCATGCTGTTGCATATCAAATCAACGGAGAGATATCAACAGCGTATGCAGGTGATGAATCTTTATTGCTGCATAAGTAGAAAAGGACGATTGAAAAGTTAAACTCATGCATTTTGTTTGTCTTAAAGCTTAGCTGTTAGACTGCATGGTTCATTAACGTCTTTTTCAAGTAAAATATCTTGATGCGAAACAGATGTGTCAGACTCTGTGGTATCTTCTATCTCAAACTCAGCGGGAGTGGTATCTTCTATCTCAAACTCAGCGGGAAATATCGCATCGACAAAAGAATAGACATAACCATTGTTTATTGTAAATACGTCGTCGACATATTTAAATATCGAGTTGAAGGCCACGGAAGGCGATGTATTTCTTTTTTTTTTTCACGTAAGAGATTTTCTTGAAAGTTTGCCTCACATGAATACAAAAGGATGTGCTGATAACGGGACACGATTGCTACCCATGGTATTTCCAATATTGTCAGAAAACCTGGTCTCCAAAAACCACATACATGTAGCTCTTGTCAATCAGAAACTAAAAAATCTTTTTAAAAACCTTCAAAGTGCTTGTGTGTACAATCAGAATGTTTTTTTAACAAAATAATTTTGCAATTGACAAACAACAAGAGAAGTAAATTTACGACTTTCATTTTCAGTGAAAAAACAGCTGTCAATGACATGAATTGGATTTTTAAAAAAGTGATGAAGATAAATGAATATGTTTTTTAATTACATTCTTATCCCTAAATTTCAATATATTTCAAAGACAACTGAGAAAAAAATGCAATGCATTATTATAGGACATCAAAAGAGAAAAGATACTTTGAAATCGTTCATAATTTAGATGAACAAAGATACAATTCCTCAATACGTTTTCCTAAAAAAAAAGTAAGGAATATTTACCAAAATATATTGAAATGGAGTTATTTTTGTACGAAACATAAAAAAACGAGAACAACTCAAAAGAATAAAAAATTATGTTCATTTACATTAAGGTGACCTACCTTGTGTAGCAATGTACGATCGTTTTCCAAATGCATCCTATTGTACAAACCATATAAAAGTTTATTTTTAAATAATGTATATACATGTATAATTGCGAGTATACACCAGGCATGTAATGTGAAAGAATCTATACACGTTTATAAGAATGGGTTTCTTAAACAACTGATAAAAAGAAATTCAAGTATTCTTGACAATTTATAGGTTAATTGATACATTAAGCTCAGCAGAAGATGAAAATGCTTCGTCGAATTACTTATCCATATGGACTTTAAAAACTTGATTTGTCATGCATAAACCTAAATACATTTAATACAATAAAACGGCTACCAATTGTTTTCAAAGAAAAGAAACATAAACTTTATTTTCGTCTCCAATTGTTTCATTAAACTTATGAATTAATCTTGAAATAATTTGATTATAAATATCCCTGCAAAACGAATCAGTTCGCACTCTATTAAGATGTGAATGTTTAATCATAGGGCAATTTTTGCGAGCTGTATCGTTAGATGTTTGGTACATACTTCGAGATAATTAGCATTGATATAATCTCCTTCATTAGCTGATGAGGTCTTTAGTACAACTCGAGAATGGTCATCTATCAATCAAAACAAAAAAAAAGTTGCTATTATATTAAAAGTCCAAAAAAAAAAATTCTTCGCGAGAACTTTACTTTCGCGTAAATTATACAAGACAATATGTTCGCAAAGAGTTCATTCTCGCGTTTCATAGTAAATGTATAACATATTGAACGATAACCACAATTCGTGAAAATTTTGTCTCGCTCATAAAAAGGTCATTGACATTTTCGCAAAAATCTATTCTTACTTAGTAGTGTAATCTTAAGTTAATTCTAAGACTCACAAGGGAATGTGGTTGTGTATCTATTTCGTAGTTTGTTCTCTGGTTTTTTGCCTTCTTCGCAAGGATGAAGTTCTCCTTTTGGAATTTCCTAAAGTAAACAGAAACTGCATTTATTTATATGCACTGTAAAACAATCATATAGAGTGGAAGTACAAAATTTAAAGTTCAATCAATTAGGAATCAATTTTACAAAATATATCTTGTACTCTGTATTCTTGTTTAAAGCCAGAATTTTCAGAAGCAGCCATCTTTGCTATAATAACGTGTAAGTTTTCTACAAGAATTGTTTTATTAGTTGGTTGACCCCTCTTTGATGGTTCATAGGTATCATCTGGAGCCTTCAGAACATCAGAAAAGTTCTTCTCCTTCACACTTCTGTCTTTCCCAAGAGCAATTGTGTCTTTGTGTAAGTAAGAAATAAAGTACATTGCATTTACAATTGTATTGCATAATCGATAAGATGTTATTACCGAAACTTCAATTGAAGTCAATAAGCAGATCGTTTTGTTTGGCATAATGAAATATTTTTTTTGTAAAAAATTAAAATAGAATATTTTTTTGCCTGTTTACGTTTTAGTTCTATTTTCGAAATTCGAATTCCTCCATCAGAATCAGTTCTATTTCCTTTGTATTGTTTCCTTCTCAATCTACAACAAAAAGCAGAGAGCAGGTGAAGTAAAATTGAATAAGCATTTAAAAACCGAAACGCAGCTTAAGATAAATTTGCTCTAGGAATAAAAAAAAGCTTCTTGTTTTAAATTTGTTAAAGAAATTTCGCTTAGTTTCTTGGCACTATTCTTTTTTAAAATATTCAGTATTTCCATATTATACACTACTTTTTCAAAATACTACATGCACCCCTTAAACAAACTGGAAATAAATTATTCAATTTTATATGGTTGAATTTAAACTAGCATTGTGAAAAAATATTGTAAACCAATAGCGTTTAGAACGGTCGTTTTATTTGAACAATTCAAACTTGAACTATATTAATTTCATAATCATTTTAGTTATTAATAGTAAACTTAGTAGTGACAGTAAAATGAAAGAAAAGTTTATTAAACCAAGATGTACTATACAGTGTACCACATACAGTGGCTTTATAATTGGCAAAGGGACTTTAATTCCATGAACTATAATTATCTTTTTTTAGAACAAATTGGATGTTGTTGTTGGTGCAATGAACTATAATTATGTAAATCATTTTGTAAAGGAAATGATCAGAATAGACCAATCGAGCTCATCGATACTAAGTTATAATATTTGAACGGAAATGCAACGTAAATATTAAGATTCTTGATCAAGAATAATAAAATATAGGACTTTGAAGTACTAAAGTAAAGGAGCTAAGGGCTAGAACCCCTGTGGTGCAGAGATGGGGACTGAATCCATAAATTTTAATATGTGTGTTTACCTGTATTTAAGAGTGATACCGTGTTGGAGGTCATTATCAACAGACAGACCTACGGATAAAGCGTAGGTGGTTTATAATGGTAAGATGGCCATTGAAATGTATTTTTACATTGTACATGTATATCTGGGACCAGGAATACCCTCTGAGCACAAAATACACTGTTTTTATCTTAAATGCGGTATTCTTATTTTATTATCATTCTTAGGACTCATTCTAGGGAATTATCCTTCTTTGGATTCTTTCTAAATTCCTTTGAATCACTTTACGTCTCTTTCTGGACTATTTTGGGTATTAATACGAGGGTGGTCCCGTACAATCGTGGACAAGTTGTATAGTTTGAAAAATAATCATCACTGCGTTCTGAAATTTTCACAGCTTTTTAGTAGATAAAATATGAATATACATAGCAAATTTCAAATAGATATATGCATAGGTAAACAAATTGTGATATTTTATGTTATGTACTGTATCGTCCTACGGCGCACGGATGATAACGTCAAAGCGTCTAAAACAGCGTCACGTTTCATCTTTGCTAAACTTAAAGTTGGATAAGCCCCACTTAAATTTAGAAATTTTATTGATTTACATATGTGAGTATCTATAACCAGTTAAGAAACCAATGTGGCACACTCATGCGATCTTCTGAATATTTTTTAGCAAGTTACAGACAGTATTCTCACCATCATTCAACTAAAAGAGAATCTCACATCGACGGTCGACAGTGACAGCGTCCTTTGCTATTACAAATGGCAGTCTGTCCATATGTTTTGTACTATCCGAGGACTCGACCACTAAGACTTCACTAAGAAAACTTTCGTTTCATTTATATACTAAAGATCTGGTGGTATTTTTCATATTTCTTTTCTTCTATATTTATTTAAAGTCTCTTAAGGCATCAATACAACATCCTAATCTCTCTGAACTGCTCTCCGGTGCGCCGTAACGTCATAAAAAGTCGCCATTTTTCGTGTATTTTGTTTATTACTTTCCCATTTCAAATGCTCGGGAAACTGCCAAAAATTAACCAAATGCCTTGAAATTTTTAAAAAGACGACAGAATCGATTAAGGAATGGAATTAGAATAATTTTCATCCTAATCTCTTGTATTGAAAACATTTATTACGAATTAATTCTTATGTCTTCTCTAATATAACCTTGCTATTTTTACCGTGCGCCGTAGCACCGTACCTTGTGCACATTCAAGCAAAATAAAATCTTTATTTTTTAATATATATATTGTCAAAAACATTATGATTCACTTAAATATGATGAATAAACTTTTACTGAAAATTTCAGCTTAGTGCGCCAATTACTTTTCGAGAAAAACGCTTTGTCCACGATTTTATGGGACAACCCTAGTATTTTGGACTCTTATTTTTCTGGAGTTTAGACTTACGCTCTTAATATTTTGGACGGATCCTATAAACATTTGTATTACAGCTATATTGGTTTGCTCTAATCACATTTCAAAAATCGTTAATTATAAATCTATACGATGAAGGTGAATTTGTCAATTTGGATAAACAAACTAAAGTTTACAACTAACATAAGTTTTATCATTGGCTTACAATATACCTGGTGTACAAAATTATCAACACAGATAGGATTGAAACAACAGCAATTGCACCAACAATCCCTCCAACGGTAACGGTGTCCGCGGATGTGCTTTTGGAATAAAGTGAAGTTGGATCTAAAGAAATAAATTTGACAGGATACAAATTCAAATATTTTCAGGAAAAATTGCTAAATATTAAAGCATTAATTAAATTTGTATAGACTTACAGGTTTGAGCAAAAAATGTTGTTTAAATAATTTTGCTGTTCAATTACCCTAAAAATGATTTTTGTGGTTGTTCACTAACCTTGGATACATGGTCCATTACACCCCAAAGAACAACTTCCATTGTATTTATTACAAGTCTCATTGACACAATTTGAGCCACAGACGTTATTGCAGTTTTTACCATACCGGTTATGAGGACATTCTGTAAAAATTACCATATCATATACCTAGAGGAAAATACATCGATTCTGAACGGTGCGATACAGATGACGTCATAATACCCCATATCAAGGTCCAGTCTGAAATTCCATTTCACGTATCAGACCACACTTGGATATTTTTTTTTTAAAAGTTAATATACTTAATTTTATTTAAATGTGTGAAATAATTCTTTAATAACATTTCTGGACTTTTTTTCAATTAACTAAAATTGGTTCAATTTAGTTTTAAAGAAAAAGATCATAAATGTGCATGAAACATTCTTTTCTGACTTTATGTGAACTCTAATATTACACTGTACATTGTAAGTATTTTAAATTTATGATAAATAGAATACTACATACTGAAATCCATATAATACATGTATGTCATATAAACCCTCGGGTCCCATATCAACCCTCCCGTCTTCGGCCATCGGGATGATATGACATATGATATGGATTTTAGTATGTAATATTTTCTGTTCATAACATTAATGATAATGTCAAAGTTTATCATTAAAGAAAATCGTGATACATGTATCAATTAACATTATTAATCGTTTGTTGGTTATGAATCGCATCATGCAATGTTTCATTCAAACGAACGAGTACTAAATATATAATTTACATAATGCGTATGTTTCATTACAATAATAAGATATACACCGAATCAAATGATCTATTAATGTAATTTAAGAAAACAGATCACCTGTATTGCAATGTGGAGGACTCTTGAATCCGGCTTTGCACTCACAAAGTCCATCGGTTTTTCGGCAGTTATCAGCACAATTTATGGAACAATTATTAGAACAGTTCTTACCATAATGTCCAGGTAAACAAGCTAAAAATAGAACTAGGTTTATATTTAATTAAAAAATACATTGCATTCCAAAATGCAAAATGTGTTTCATACGTAAAAAATAAAAGTAATACCATCTAAACATTGTGGTTCGTTGTATCCTTCTGCACAACCAAACGGACAAGTCCCGTCCACATGATCACATTGTACTTCATTAAAACAGTGTCGACTACACGTTTTTGTGCATCCCTTTCCATATTTTCCTGCTGAACATGCTAATGACATGGACGAAAAAGTATTTTAAATCAATAAATCAATTTAAATAAATAAATTTCAAGTGAAATTTCAAAGGAAAACATTTCTTATAAGTATCTTTTTACCTGTGTCACAAGATGTACCAGTATATCCATCACTACATCCCGAGTCACACTGTCCAGTTTTGGGATTACAGGGTTTGTCATTGAAACAATGTCCACTGCAGTTGAACGCACAGTCTTGGCCATAACGACCACTGATGCAAGCTGGCATTGTGAGAGTATTATTTGATATAACACTTCAAATACATCTTACATATAACATAAGATTATTTAACATGTACAAGTGAACATTTCGGATGGTAGCGATAGTCAAAAATTGAAATTCATTGCCAATCAATATACACGATATTATTGGGGCGTTTGATTTGTTTTAGAAATAAGAATACGGATTAGTTTTTATTCAGTTTATGTTAATTACGATAAATTTCCTTATAGTCTAGTATACGAGGGGTTATCAAAAAGTTCGCAAACTACTTAGTAATTAAATATCTTCCATAAAAGAAATGTTATAGGTTTTTTAGTATTGGACTTTCTTTTAAGCAGTTCTTTCAGATTTCAACGCGCATCTGCAACCAAGCCCATAAATGAATCCCGTGATTTTAGCGGTTACGTAACATGCTCCGTAGCATATTGTCACAGAAGCTAAAACATTTTTATGACTCTTTTTTTACCATGCAAGTTTTATTTTAATATAAAAAACAGACCTTCTGTCAGAAATTACAATATTGTTTTTTTTTGTTTTTGTCAGAGATGGCCGAATCTAGGCAAACATATGTGTGGATACTGGAAAAGAATATTCTTTTTTTCAGAATAAGCATGGTGACCATGATCAGACCACTAAAAACCGAGTCCTCTGTCTTGGGAGCGTCGTTTATTATTGAAGTATCCGTGCCTCCTTTTAATCCTCTCTGATATGTCCAAAGTCCCAGAAAAACGATATTTTAGATAATTATTTGATAATTATATTATTGCTTAGATATTTAACTACTTTTCTAAAAGTGAGTCAAATTGCTTAAAGGACACATACATGTATCTTCCATAACTTGTTTTCACTGAGCAATAGAAAAAACATCATTTTTAAACATGTCCCTTCCTTCACTTAAACAATCAATCCAATTCATGACTAAACTTCTGTCAGTGGGAGATCTTAAGATATTTCGACAAGAATTACTTTCTCTTTTTCATGAAATGACTTGTTTTTACTAACAATCGGCATCTCTTAAGAATGTCTTAAGCGCCTCTACGAAATATTTCTTAGGATGGGTGTATCTGTCAAAATGCTTACATTCATCACACAGCGACCCAGTCCATCCAGAAGCACATCCTTTATCACAGTTTCCTGTTACAGAGTTACACGTACCATCATCTCTACAATGTCCTGCACACTGATGTTTGCATTCTAGACCATATGATCCACTAGCACAGGCTACTCATACAAAAAAATATAGTATTATCCACATTTTTACTTAAACATATTAAATTAAAAAAAAAAACAGATATATAAAATACCTTACGTGTTCTACAGTACTTTCCCATCCATCCAGGCACACATCCCAGACACGTTCCATTTAAAATATCACATTTGTTTTGTTGACAATGTTCAGGACAGTTTCGTTCGCATGCTTCACCGTAAGTTCCCTGATATGCACAACCTAAAAGAAAGAAGGAATACTTTAAGCAGAACATTTCGGAACAGGTCGATCAATTATTCAAAATTTCAATTATCACGAACATACAGACATCCTACCACTTATCTAATTATCATAGCCTTTTTTTCAATGCAAAATCAAAGTTTATAAATTGCATAAGTATTTTGTTTCTTCTGATCAGTACTACAATGCCTAATTATAACAAATATTCTGATGGAACTGGGTTTGCAAAAGACGAACCTCTTACTATAACTTCACATAACTCTGTAAAAATCAAAGATTCATATCCTTGAGGATAAACAGTTCCATCCAATCGCTCGTTGTAAAATATTACATGGGAGCCATGTCCAATACATCTCGTTTTGAAATATAGGGGAGGTAACTGTGGCCCGTCTTTATAACACAATACACCATCTTCTTTTCTAGAAGTATTGGAAAGGTAAAGGGAAAAGCCCGCAAAACGGCCTCTTTGTCTGTCTTCTACAAGGATTAAAAAGTTCATTCATGCCTATCTCATGATTTTAAAAAGTTGACTTCTTTTCGGTATGTAGTAAATGATTTGTTTTAATGAAACCGTGAATTTCCTATGATTAAAATACAGTCAGTTTTATTTATGTAATTTACAAGCGTCCTTTCTGACATAATTTATTTTTCAAATAAAATCTGCAACATGACGACTTCCAGACGACGTATATCAAAGAAACACTTATTTTGTCATAATGTACATGCATTATTTATTTGTTGACTTCGTTTATAGAATACATAAATTGTTTAAAATGTTTAGATCAATAATGGTCAACAGTTAAGGATGTAAAAAAAGATGCCTTTTTCTTTTGGTGTGAGTTATTTATGACTAGTAGATTTTTTTATTATACATGTACAAATGTAAAATTGCACTTGAGGGTTTCCTTTTATCTTTGTAATTTTTTAATCAAAGAAGGTGTCAACCATTCGATTTAGTGTTAAGTCCTAAGGGGTTATGTTTATAGTTAAAGTATGGTCAATTGGTCAAGTAAATAAATAAATTACATAATAAGGAAGTGAGAAGATTAACCTTAAATTAAATTTTTATGCACGAATATAGATTTTGATTGTTAATACCTGTGCAGGGAAGCGTGGTGTCTCCGATATAGATTGTTTCCCCTACTGGGATCTATCTGATCGGAGACTGCAATAAAACAAGTTACACTTTATTTACGATTTCCCTGGTTGTATATATTTTACAGGTATGATACTAAATTTAATAAATGATATTTTTTCTTTGAAAATTACTTTAAAAAATTTGAGCTTCCGAGATTTATTTATTAATCTTTTATTTTTTTCGTTTATAAGCTTACGAATAAATTATTTTAAGGTTTATAATGTATATGTTTAATTGTTAACAGATTTTGGATTTTATTGTTATGACATATTTAAAATTTTCTTTGTTTGGGATTATTTTTCTTTATGAGTGAGGCAAGACTCAGGTAAATATTTTAATCGCTTATAATATTGTTCAGTTTTATTTTGATATAGAGTGAGTATTTTGAAAATTGTTCGATCACTCTATTAGTCACCAGGTGAGGTAGATTAGGGTAACTTTATTTTATTTTTTTGGGTCAAAAGGGTCCCTCACTGCAAGCGAGTTCCCCAAGGTTAAATATACAGTCGAAACTAGACACGACACAAAGATTATGATTCATAACATGTATGTGTGATGCAATCATGAATGCAGTTAACATTTGTAAATTGTAAATTGCACATTTGTAGCCAAGATAAGATTAGATGTGACGAGATGAGATTTAAAATCATTTACAAGTTTTATTGGGATAACTGTCGTAAAGCATCGGATTTAATTTCGGACCTGACCAAGGACGTTTCCATGTCAAAATTGATGTGAATGTTTACAACTTTTTGTCAAAATACTGAACGGAAAATCAAGAAAGACGGAATGACATCATGACAGAATAGGGTAACTTTATGCCAATGGTCATTTACTTGGTGTAGGTTAAGAACAAGTTTTCAGTAATTTTAAAATACTTATTCCGAAAAAAATATATTCCTTACCTTGCTATTGATAAATATGAAGTCAAATTAAAAAAAACCTAAATATTTCCTTGACAATAAATTCAAAAATATTACCTAAATTAAATTATGTGAAAATCAATATAATATTTATATGAAAAGACTTGTTAAACAGGCATACATGTATATTATAACAAAGATAACTTTTATCAAAATAAACGAAACTTACTATACGCTTTACCATAGTCTACAAACTGTATGGTGATGTCGTACACACTGTAGATGTCCTCTAGATCCACATACCACCATACTTTCTTGTATAATGAATTCGGACCAATACTTTCAGTTCTCGTGCATGTATCGTTTTTTCCATCTACTGCTCTATCAGCTGCATAATTGGCACAATTTCCTATACATTGCAAAGTGTTGGGCTCTTGCGATGCTTTTCTTCCATTTGATAAAACATCTCCATGAAAGATATAAAAGTTAGGTTCAGGTTTATAGAAAATATTTTTCTTTAAAAATCACTGCTCTGTCTTTGTTTGTTTCTTTGTTTGTTTGTTGTTTAACGTCCCTTCAACGTTTATTCCATAAGAGAAGAGGATTGAATATTGTTTGTTTTACATCCAGTCGGTAATATTTCCGTCATATCTCGGCGGAACAAGAAGAGAAAATCACTAGCTGTGACCTTCGATTCAAAAATCATATATAACGACGATGTTTCATTAACAAAAGTTATTTTCATTCCTATGTCGATTCGATATATACCCCCCCCCCCCCCCAAAAAAAAAAAATAGAAAATACTACTACAGCTTATTCATTTTAGATGGTTTACTGACTTAAGACGATGAGGTCGATGAACAATAACAAGATGACATTAAATGTACTTTTTCCGCTGTCATTTTTTTTTTATTCTTACATATACCTGCATATGTATCCATGTCTCCAAATTATTCGTTTCTCAATAGCTTTTTCTGAGTAAGGTCATTTTTTTAAAGCGAGGCAGGCTAGTCACTGATACTGATAAGTTAATGATACAAGGATTTCAACGTTTCGTTTTAAGTCAAGGGCTTGTAAATTCTTTTGTGGTTATATAATGACCTTGTTCACAGATATAACCTGCCATTGTGACGATTTTTTGACTGAGTTGTTTTATACATTTATTTGTATAAAAAGTATGAAAATGATGTAAATAAGCACTTCTTACCTCCTATTTGCCCCCATTTTTTTGTTTATACGTGTTAAGTGAATTTTGAACCAAACCAATTTCTAATCGATGAATCGACTCCGAAAGTATGCACCACGGTGTTAAAATATGTAAGACATCTTGACGAATATAATTATTTACTTTATTTGGTGCCCTTTGTGATTATCATAGTATGTTTTTACATAAAGATATCACGAACGGCCATTGGTAAATAAATAGAAGTTTAAAGGAATGTGCACATATTTGAACAACATTAACAGACCTTATTTTTTTCATTCTCCCTAAATGATATGGACATACATGAAAAATATATGTCTTTCAACCTAGTTAAAATGCAATATACAAACCAAAATATGCTCAGCTTTAAATTTTTGATCCATCTTTATGCATTAAGATTTAAACAAAAATATACGAAAATTACATACGGAGCTTTTAACTTACTCCAACAACATTCGGGCTGAATATGAAGACTATTTTTTTTTAAATATACGCACCATATCCAAATGAATATAAAAATCCCGATAAGAACAAAGGTATCCAGACTTTAATCCAAATGTTAAAGATCATCCTTATTCTATTAGAAGTTGCCTTGATAAATGCGCACCACCAACAACAAGGAAGCTTATTAGTATGTACATTAAGTTTGTGCAGAAAATATCTATGGCGGGATAACACTGCAATGAAATTTTGAAATGTATAAAACGTACATAGAGGAGGATGCATTTACTTTTCGAAAACCTAGAAATTAAAGATATAGTAGAGCTGTCCATAAGACTTCTTATCAATCTTAAAAAATATGAAAAAAAAATCGATAAGAAATGTTCTTATAACTAGTTCAGAGTGTTGTTATTATGGATTGCTGATAAAGAAAAAAGAACAAAGTACAGTTTAAATACAGATTATGCCCTACATTTTACTAAAATATGAATGTGATATAAGAAATTAATATTCATTGTTTCTGAATCAAAGAAATTCCATGCAGTAAGAATACACAAACCGTTTTCTCATATGACCTCCGAAATGCTAATTGTGACGTCATTAACTTTCCCGTGTATTATCCTGTATTTTCTTTAAAAGTTGCAGAAGAACACCAATTTTCAGTGGAATTTTCTTTCAGAAAAAATACTCTGCCACCGTCGCCCACAACGATTTTGGGATATGGGGTTTTTCATAGCAATTTACATAATATATCCGAAAACTGAAGTGGGCGACGGTGGCAGGCACTATCTTCTAAAAGAAAATAAGCACAGAATGAGTCATCCTGAGGCTTTTCTGCATTAAACATCGAAGCGTACCAAGTCTATGACGTCATATTTCCATAATGGTACTCCTCCATGCCATAGTCTTCACTGATTTATTATATTCATCTACTCAACTATTGTTAAAGCCAATTTTATAACTTTTTAAGAACATTAATATTTTAGGGTACCTTCTTCTTTGTCAAAAATTTAGAAAACAACACTTTGATTCATAATTATGCAAATAAATGAATGAATTTAGTAGAATATTTTAATTTTTTATTCAAATTAAAGTTTAACAAAAGTGGAGTTTAACGTGAAAAAAAATCTGTATTTTGAACACAATAAAAAAAATTACAATTCTTTGATGATTTATAAATTTATAATTAGCACCATTTATAACCATATATAACCAAAAGAGAAACAAATTAAATAATTATCTAGGGATCCTTTTCTTGTTTGTATTATCTTTTCTTATGATATGTAATCTTACCTCACATGAACGATAACATTTAAACGTTTGATAATATATTTTGTTTAATATTTTATTAAAAGCGTTGTTTTAACGTATTTTTTGAAATTTTAATTACATAGCATTTAAAATTGGGGAGGGGTGTCATTATAGGTACCAGATAGACCTGTGGATCTGTGAACAATTAAAGAAACTGTACTACTTAATTTAATGGATTGACATACAAAACACCTAAGAAACCTTAGACCCCAGTCATGGTACACGTCGGACCCTCAATGTTAGGATCGACTTACTTGAAGACTCTTGAGCTAAGTTCTTACCACTGCATCACGATGGCAAGCAAAAAGTTTCTCTACTCAAAATATAATGAAGAGTTCGGTAGGTACATCGGCAAACGGAAAGGAGCACCTGATTATCAAAAAAGCCTTTCAAAATTTTGTTTGAAGATTAATTTCAAATATTTTTGGTTGTTTATGGTTCAACAGAAGTAAGTTTATATAAAAAAAAAAACATAATTACGTATCCGTCTTTAATAAATTTTGTTATTAATATAAGTATAAAAATAAAAAGATGTGTTTGTGAAAAACCATTCACCATGCGGTAACAAAGTTCGAAAAGATATTTTTGGCATATAGGTCACAGTCAAGGTCATAAGGTCATTGACCTTGGTGTCATTTGTAAAAGCTTAATAAGTGGATTATGCATACTAAATATGAAGTTTCTATTTTATTTGATTTAAGGAGGAACAGGACTTTTAGCTGAAAAAATTTCCTGTCAATGAATTTTTTTCATATTTTTTATATTACTAACTTAATATGTACTTAACATTTTAAAACGGCCCTGTCATGGGATTTCTAGACTAATTTAAAAGACATCGCTCCACAAATACTGCCCTGTTTAGAGTTTGTATGGAGTTTAGATACTTCATGTTTACGGGCCCATAACGGAGTCCATAATACGAATTTTTACGCACAAACGATAAATATGATAGATAACACTATATACTCAAATATTTCAGAATATTCAGTGTTTAAATTATCTGAAAGCAATTGTTTTAATTTTATATAGTATTTGGGTGGGATAATTTCTACATTTTTCAAGGCAGGTTCAACGGCAAAAACCTCATTTGGAGAAAAATTCTGTCAATAAATATTTCCAAATTTATTATTGAATGCCAGTCCTTCATCGTAATTATTTACTGCATAAATATCACAGGGTGAAGCTTACCTCAATATCGCACAGGACATCGTTGAATTAGATGTAAGCATGATTTAAACGCTTCACGTTTGTATTTTCCGAGTGCGGGAAATCAATTGTGACGTCACACGAAAACATAAACATTCAAAATTATCTAAATAGAAAGAATCTCTGCTACTAAACATGAAAAAATATTAATTAAAAGAAAATCTGCTTCAGAAATTTATCATGATACATTGACTGTGACCTGTTTATTATGAAATAAAACTGATCATGACCGATGTTTGTATTGATCTCGCTCCACTGAGAATTCAAACACTACGTCTATGACGTTACTGACGTCAGACTGCAGGGTAAAGAGAAACAAATGTGTGGATTGGGCAACTTCACAATATCTAAATGATGGCATGATCTTTAAAAGGTTTATTACTAATAATTTCTAAAGTTAAATGTTTAAAAAACAATTTTAGAAATTAGAATAAAATTACTCAAGAACTGTTTGTTTTAACAACGTTTAACATGTATATCATCACCGATTATGACGTAATGTGTCTTTTTAGTCATGTGACATGTGCCCTGTCTCCCCTTAAAAGTGATGGCGAAAGTTCGAAAAAGCTATTTTTAGTATGTAGGTCACAATTAAGGTCACAAGGTCATTGCCCTTAACCTCATTTAAAAGAGCTTAATTAGTGGAGTATGCATATTAAATATGAAGTTTTTTTCTCTCATGGTTCAAAGGTTATAGCAAAGGTAAAGTTGACAACAGACAGACAAATAGACAGAACAAAAAATAATGTCTATCGATCCGGGCGCTTAACCTTAAAACTGTCAATAAAAAGTCTAAGCATGATTTTTAAAATCATAAATTGACCCAAAAAAAAAATAATTGTGTTCTATTATCTGCCAGTAACTAAGGCAAAAACCCCAAGGGCTGATTTGCAAGGTTGAGAACATCCAAAACCAAAGTTTTAACCTTCAATCTAATTCAAGCAGTTATTAGGTCTATGCAGCAATTGGCTTCCATATCCGGGGAGATATTTAATTTTTCAGCATGGGTTAACGTAATTGAATATCCTTTTCATTTTTTGTCTCCACTTCAGTAACATCGATCGCATCCAACTTGTTCTCAAAGATCCTTTTTTGAATATATCATTCTTTTTAATAATTATAGTTAGTTTTAAATATGTATTTATATTCCAAATAATCAAATTGAATTTGAGTTTCCATACTTAAATTACATGTTGATTCCGTAACTGTACTTAAATCCTTACAAACAAAGATACATAGCAGGTTTCAGTAAATCTTCTTTTTTTCTATACATGTACTCATCATAAAATGACATCATAGCGGCAGTGAGGAAGATACTTCAGAAGTCCTTTCTAAGGGTCATTCAAAAAGTTCTTTGACTTTTGTCGTAACTTTTTTAACGAAAGGTCCTATGAAAACTAAACTAAGTATAAAATGATAAAATAAATAAAAACAGGATGTGATTGTGAAACACTATTTGCCCGACGGCAAAAAAATCGAAAAAAAAGCTATTTTTAGCATATTGGTTACAGTCAAGGTCACAAAGGTATTGACCTTGGTGTCATTTGTAAGAGCTAAATTGGTGGAGTATGCATACTAAATATGAAGTGTCTATTTTTTTTTTTTTTGGTTTAAAAGTTATAGCTAAAGTTTGAACAAGCTATTTTTAGCATATAGGACAGAGTCAAGTTCATAAGGTCATTGCCCTTGACCTCATTTGAAAGAAACAAACTTAATTAGTAGAGTATGCATACCAAATATGAAGTCTCTATCTCTCATGGTTCAAAAGTTACGGCAAAT